CGGCAGCTCCCCGGCTCCCCGAGCTGCGCAGCCGGAGCGGGACGGAGCCACGCGGGCACCGTACCTGCGAGGCACCCGGCTCGGGGTTTGCTGCTGCCACCCCAGCACTAAAGCCGCTTCCCAGGAGCTCGCAATAACCCTGCAGAGGTATAAAGCGAGGCCGCTCTCCTGACGGTCGGTTATACAGCCTGTCCTTGATCTTTACGCAGGATTTCCCAGTTGCATGAAGCTAGAGTAGCATATGGTCCCGTGTTTATAAGCATGTTAATGACTGAAATGGGAAACTGTACAACCCGTTTTCCTTATAAACTTTAAACTGCAATTTCTTGGTTTTGTCATTGGACACTGTGCTGGTACCCAGTTAATTTGGTTGTTTAGACGTACATGGCCACGCTGACCCTGGGCACTGGGCGAACGAAGTCACGCTGGACACACTGATGTACCTGAAATCAGGGTCCGGCCCGTAACATGAACCAGACGCAGTGAGTAAGCTTTCCACTCGCAATCTGCTACAAAAAGTTGCTTTTCCAGGGAAGCACAATAAAGAATTTGCTTCACCACCAATGACTGCCTGCTCTTAGGAGCACAGCAACCTTGCCAAACGTTTCTCAAAAATAAAATGTCAATCAGTTTTCACTCTGTGCTTTTTGAAATACTACTCAAAATGTCTTCAGAAATGAAAACATCTAGTAGGGACTTCACAATTCTGCTTCGCCCCCTTTGTGTTAAAAATTAGCTGTTGCACTTAAAAAATTGCAGCGGGGAGCTCCTTATAAGTGGTGGTATCTCACTTAAAAATACACTTGCTGCTTTCAGGAAGGTATGAGTGGTACAGTCAGCCAAACCCTGTTATTTTGCTTCACCAAAATGGATTGCAGCTATTTTTGAGAACACAGGTACAGGTCTGCTACACGAATGCACTGAGAACTGCTATCCCAGGTATTCAAATTACAGAGAAAAGGCACAAAAAAATAAAACGTTCTTATTTACCTCTTCCTAACTAACAATCATTTGGATAACTTCATCTGTTTGCAAATAGATTTCATGAATGGATGATAACTTGAAAATACCTGCTTTGTTCATGAAGGGCTCAATTCCTGCATGTTATAACATTATCAGAAAATCATTAATGGGACTGTAATCTTGTAGCTGAAAAAAACCTATTTGTACCTATTATTTCCTGAATGTGCACACATATATAGGAAGGATATATCAAATAATATAGTGTGTGCAAGTGATCTTTTTCTTTCTATTAGCAGGCTACTGCTTGTCTGCTTTGGAAGTATAAAAAGAATAAAACTGTATCCTGAGAGCTGCTGGTGTGTTCTCACCAAAAGCCATAGCACTTCAAAACGTTAACAAATATATTTAAGAACTGACTTCAATATGATCTCAAGAAGAGTTCCAAGAATGTCAGTTATGAAGTTTAAGGACAAATATACCGGTTTTTAGTCATTCCAGCCCAGCTTGTGAACTCACACAGTTACAGTGTGCCTGTCTCAGCCTTCTCATTACAGACCGTATTTTTCAGTGCAGCTTGAAGCTTGGCAAGAAGAACTTAATCCAGTAGCACATTTATTACAATTTTTAAAAAGTCATTGTGTCCATTTTTAAGTTATGGTATAAAAGTAGAGAAAAACAGAAGTTTGCATATCTGAGCTGCTGCATCTGTTCTTGAGTAACTTTTCACTTAAAAATAAAACTTGGCAGACAATATGCCCATAATGCGGACCAAATGCATTTGGTATGTTAAAAAAAAAAAAGCTAAATGAACACAGAGAGTTAATTTTGAAACTTACTCATCATGCATGCACTATTCTTGCTCCCCACGAGATCCCATTTCTCTACGGGGCCCCCGCTTCCCCCCTTGGTCACCCCCTGACAACCTGCACGTACCAATGTCCTCCCACCCCCCCCAGAGCATTCAGCCTCCTACAATCCTTCTGGCCCCACCACAGGGACAAAAAATCACATGAAAAGTGCTAGGAAAGAGAGAGCAAAGGCTGCAAACTTGAGAGGTTGCAAAGGCGAGGGGCACCCGAACCTGCCTGCCAGGGAAGCCAAGGGGTACCAAGTACATCATCTAAATCTATATTAACTTCAGTGCAAAGCCCTCCAATACTTTTCATCAATATTCATCCATCCCCAAAGCGATGCTGCCCACGGGGTGGTCCCTGGCAGAATAACCCCCGAGAAAGGCCCCAGGACAAGGCGGAGGGCTGCTGCGATGGGCAGAAACCCTGAGATGCTGGTGGTGACCTCCAGAGCTTGGGATGCAAAACTTAATTTTTTTCAAAGGTAAGGGGACAGCCTTTGCCTTACATCCCCAAAGAAATACAGAGTAATCTTCACGAGAGGAGCCTTCCAGCACTCCCTGCCCCACGGGGACCTGATCTCGCCCTGATTTACAGCAGTTTACTGGCATGAACCAGGCAGTCCGTGCCTTCCTCTGATCGGTAACAGAGTGGAGGAGATAAATCATGCTTTTATGCTTTTATTGATAAGATTAAAATAATAAATTATGTGTAATCCTTCAAAAACATTAAGCCAAAATATTTAATGGCTAAGTCTGTGGTGGCTTAGTTCAGTGCACTGTGTCTGAAGAGTGACGCAGAAATTGGTCTAAACTAACCGATGTATTCCTAAGAGGTGCACGAGCACCGAAGGGCCACGCGCTGGAGAAGGTGCTCTGAGGACACAGAAGATGCTGTACAACAGGGGAAGGTGTTCACGTGCACTCCATTGAGGGGCATATGGCTCATGTAAGTGCGACAAACAGCCACCTTGACATTTCAAAGCCCTCCTCTTCCTCCCAGCTGGCGCCATGGAGTACTTTAGTCCTCCTCTAGTCCTCCCCTATTGTAACAGAATGCTCAAGAGTTTTCTCCTTCTTTAGGCTTATCCTTGTCCTGACAAAAACGGCCTGTAAGTGTCATTTAAAAAAAAAAGCCACATAGCTCCATTCAAAAAGCAAACCAGCTTCATTAGCAGTCAATAACAGCATTTAACTTCAATACTGCAGGCAGACCTTCTCCAGTGAATGAAAGGGTGGACTGGAGTTACCCACTCTCACATGAGAGGATGGACAGGGGTGATCTGCTCTCATAAAAGGCACCATCAGGTGACACTCACTCCAGGTGACACCATCCACCAAAGCCGGCTGTATTAGAAATGATGCAGAAAGAATCCCTTACCTGTCCGGTAGACAAAATTGCCTTCTGTCTCTGACGATGACGGAGACACCAATTCCTCCTCAAATTCATTGGAACTAAATGAACCAGAGTGATTCCTTTGCCTTGTTTTTTCCATCATAGCTGCATTAGTAGCCATGACATGTCTCAATGAGTCATTTAGGTAACGATTCAGTAAGCTGCTTTTGTATTTGGGGGGTGACACATAATCCTCATTGGCACTTGTTTCGGGTCTCACTCCTGTTTTTATTACTGAACTTTCAGTTTTAATCACAGTGTGATGAACTGGTTTGTTATATCCCCCTTCATTCATATGGTTTCTTGGAGGATTTTCTCCATCTGAAACAAAGGAAGAAAGATACAGTATTGCATCAAATACCCAATATTTAACAAGACGCTTTCTCTACATGTTCTAAATTGCTATAAATATAACTAAACCTGGACAAATATTTTTAGACTTCAGTATTAGACAATGATTTTAATTTCCTTCTGTTGATACATTGCTCACAGTAGTTCCCAGGGTTCTCAGATGTTTCAGCTATTCCAAATTAACTAACTGTAGAAAACACTGTCTGTGTCTAATTTATTCATGAGCAACACAAGACAGGTAGGAAAAAACCTGAGAAGTGCCCTAAATCAATGATAAACATTTCAAAATCTGGGTGAAGAAGCTGAAATCTTACTATCATAACTCAAAATTTGCTTCTCCTGAGTACTATGACATATTGAAGTGCATTTGCTTAAACTGTACTCTTTCAATTGTCCTGCAAGCAATCTTTTAAAGGGAAGTGCAAACCAAAGAAATGTGAGTACAAACTGAAATCAGAACAAAGAGAAAATTGAAACTGAGTACAAACTGAAACATATTCTTCTAAAAATTCACATACACATTTCCGACAATGTTCTGTAGCATTTGTTCCTGTCAATGTATCTCCATGTCTTGACTAAATTGACTAAATTGACTAAATTGACAATTGACTAAATATTGACTAAATTGACAATTGACTAAAAAAAGCACCCACAGACCCAATTAATACAAATGTTCTATTAAAAAATATAGGATGCTATTTAAAAAATTCCTACATTTGTTAATTTGGATAAGAAAGACATTTTCAGTGCACTCTTTAAGGAAAATGTTTGCTGGTAAAACACATTAAATAGATAACATTAATATTCAGTTTACCATATAATAAGCCCCACTGAAGTTCATCGGATTCTCTTGTTAATCAGATTCTCTTGTTAACGAAGTGATATTGCTATAGCCCCTCCATCGAGGAAAGTAACAGTCAAGAGATTTCTCATTTCCTTAAACCAGCAGATGTAATCCATTTTTTCCTTTAATGCAGATTAAAGGAATAGGCTCGTAGAATCTAATGAACTAACAATTATCTTTCTAGTAACAATGCTGTATGAAACAGGCAAATAACATGCAGCCAGACTGTCACCCCGCTTAACCTACACAAGGTTGCAAGGCTGCATAGTAGTCGGGAGCCAAAAATGGCACCTAATTCTCAAAAAGTAAAGGCGGATCCACCGAGGGCGTTTTGTGAGAAATCAGAGCTACCTGAGGGTATCTGATACTTCCTAAATATATTGTAATTGGTTTACAATTGATAAAAAGAGCATCAACAAACCTTCAGAGCATGAGTCATCGCTGCTCACGCTGAGTCGTTCAGCATTTCCTTGAACATATTTGTTGTACAGTTTTATTCGCAAAGCCCAGCTAAGATCTGGTTGCCTGACAGTATTCTTCAGGCGACGTCTTGCATTGGCAAACCAGTTTGATACCTGCACACAAATGAATGTATTAGTTTCCCTTGAAAATGATGCAACTAAACAAATCTAACCCATAGAGTTTTTGTGAGGTTTATATATGCCCTAAGAAACAAGGGAAACACCAACAGGAGTCCATGAAACTAGCACTGAGCAGAGCAGGAACCTGAGACAAGCAGGCAGGTTCAGGCTTCCCACCCTTCACAAGTGTTAGCAAACCCTCATTATTTAAAAGGTTTTAATTAAGATGTCCCCAAATACTCATTTTACAATCATCTTTCTTTTTTTAAAGATAATGCCCTGAACTTTCAAAATGAACCTTCAATATATTACTAACATCCTAAATTACAACTAATAGCTAATGCTCAGTAATTTGCCTTTGACATTTATCTAGGCTACAATAAGGCTGCTGAACAGAAAAAAACATTCTGAATTTGGTTGTATAAAAGCCCAAATTCTTCCTCGTGCTTTATCAGTACTCTGACAGGTAGTGGGTATCAGGAAAGTCTTACACAGAATACAACGTACTTTGAGTCACTGCAGAAATCAACCATTTGCTCTACAGAGCTGCAGCTTTTATGAAATCTTTCTGGTGTGGAAACCCTAAAAACCAGTGAAGATGCAGATTTCTCACAAGGTGACTACTAAACAAGAGACTGGCTTGTCTTCCTTCTCAGCTGCAGAGCATTTTCTAAAGTTTGACATTGCAAAACGGATATGCTTTAGTATCTTCCTAGCATACAGGGTCACTACAAAGTCAAGCTCAAACAGAAGGATTTCACAGTGGTTTAGGCACCAAAGGAGCAAAAGGACACGGTATAGTCTTCTGTGCCAGCAGTGCTAATCAAACCGCTGCATGGGTTGCGTGTACTTGCAGTGACTTTGCGTGAAAGCATACCTGAGAAAATGCTGGCCTTGATTCTACTGTAACTTTAATACACATAAAATAGGAAATACTGATACTGACAGAGTGACCTTACCATAACCTTACTACAAGAAAGAGCAGAGGCAAGCTACCTACACTTTAACAATATTTGTTTAATGATAAGTCAGGTCTTAAAAATGCTATTTACTCCTTGCAGGAATAAGTGTATTTTAACATGACCTCTGCAAGAAGGAGGCAGAGTAACATTACTTGCAAAGGAGAATGTAAAGAATGTCAGGAGTCTATAGCCCCGCTCACATCTTTGTGTTGTGAAAGTGCACACAGAGGAAGCCGGAGACTACTGCAGTCATATTCTGACCTGGGAACAATCATACCATTTAATTTATGTGAACCTCCAAAGCAAGTTAACATATGTTTTACCGATACATGCTAACCCACCTACTAGAGAGCCAAACTGTAGACCCCACTGTTGGATTTTGGCCCTAGTTTTGTCATCTGTCTATTGTAGCTAAGGTTGTATAAATCACACAGAAGTATCTGGCTAATTATTCTGGATCGATAATCTCTTCTAGGGTGATTATGAGAAAAGTAAACACTATCTGCTTAAAGGAAAAACAAAACGTCGGTTCAGAGTCCCACCCAGAACTTATCAGTGGCGGCCTTAAGCCTGTCACTTTGATTTTGCTTAAAATCACGTTTACATGAAACAGGGTTCCACTGAAAATGATGCCAAACACATAACTTTACAAACCACGTACTTGACTATGACAGGTTAGAAGACCAAAACTGTAGCTGGCAAAGAAGAGTAAGTAATTTTCATTCTCTTCCAAGGCTACTTGTTTATATTCATCATATTGACACAGCAATCATTATAGTAAACCAGAAAGGGTGGGCTGGAATCCATCCACTTTCTAATGCCGTTAACGAACTCACTCCAGACTGCTCAGCTGAAGCAGCAGTCACCTGGCTGCTGCATGATTTAGTATAACTCTGAAAACAAGTACGTAACGATGGAGATGGATCAATCCAGGGTCCCACTGAATATTACAGCAGTTACCGCAGCATCTTACAAAACTGACAGCTTTCCAACCTCTCACGAGAAAGATTTCATTATGCTCCATTTCATTACATATTGAAATATTTCATCAGTGAAGTGCCATGTACAGAAAAGAAAGATAGGGTAGTATTAGTGTGACTCATACATAAAAGCAATTAAATTTAGCAGGAGTGATTTTTGCATGGTACTCTTGGTTTATTTGGGGCTCATTCTTTCCATGCCAACGCTTTGCTTTCTGCATATCAATATGAAAAGATGAGTCATATTTTAAGACTTCTGCTATGAGAGGAGGAAATAGTAGTATTTGATCATTACGAAAGAACCTGAAGTCAGCATTTACAAGAGAAGCCTTCTGCTAAAGCACAAAGCAGCAAACTCACTCCAGAAACTCTTATCCCAAATGCAATTACAAGGCCCATTAAAGCTGAAGGAAAGTTAGGCAAATCCACTTAAGAGATTTTTAGGCTAGATCTGTGGTGTGGTATCTCCGGGTGCTTTCCTGCTCTTGGGCACTGCTGTATGTTGCTGGAAAATCCTGATCTCTAAGACATCAAGAGATTCAACGTCTCTCCCACTCTTTAGTCTTGGACAACCTCCAGGTGTGTGGACTGGAAGAGGCTGCGTGGCCCCAGGCTGCACCAGACAGCACGCCCACCCTGAACTCCAGCCACTGCCTGGGGTATCACAGCCTGTTCATGGCTCCTTTAAAGCCAAGGACAGTTTTGTCCCTAATTTCAACCAGCCTCAAATGTTACCTTGTATACCCATGTGGTCTTTAAAAAGTTGCATGCCTACTGCTGTAGGTCCCACTCAGTACAAGTGCCTGTTTGCACCACGCTTACTTAAGCTATTACAGAAAGAAACAACCTAAGCTGCCGAAAGTCAGAAATCCTTTATGATGGCCCCAAATTACACTACTGTGATCTCCAGAAATAATAAAAAAAATCTCAAAACAATGATTTACATACAAGCCAGTGGGAAAATCTTCATCTCAGAAACCTCCCAAAGAATGAAGTAACTTGAAAAAAAATGCATAACGAAACTCACTGTTCTTGTAAAGAAACAATCATGTAGTTCTTCAAGAAGAAAAAAGACAAAATCCAAGGAGAACGATAATAGATGTGATTTTCATCATATTTTACAGCAGCTCAGTCATTCCCAAAGAGCATCAGGTACTTATATCGGCATCATGAAATATTGACCCTCTGGCTTTGCTTCTGAAGACACTCTCCAATTTTATTGTAATTTTTTCTGCTTCAATGCTTCAGAGTGGCCAAAGTTTCAAAAAGGGAACAGAAATCAAGCGATTCTCCTCCTCCAGTAATCCAGATATGCCTTTATGAATCTGAATACTACTAAATCCATAGCAGCACATGACCAATACCATTAATCCTAGTATTGCAAAAAAATCTCTCTTCAACAATACGACCATTCATATTTCTTTCTGGAAGGAATATACAGTCATTTTTCTTTTTTATTTCACAAGAATGTCTAAACCAAAATTTAAAATAAAATAAATCAAGCACTGTGGTAATAATACAAATGAAAATGTAGCATATTAATAGCATATTAATAGGACAAATTATTGGATTCTGAATTGGAATCTAATTGGAGTAAAACATAAAATGCCTTTTCAAACTATATTGCTTTTTTGGTTTTCTGTTTTGGCAGTTGGGGAAGTAGAAAACTTTGGACTGTTGGACTGAAAGCTGCAATAACATTTGCCTTGAGGACTCCCGAAACCTTGCTGGGCTGCTCAGGAATAAGTCAGCCCAGAATTTGCCCCAGGTTTTGCTACTGTTTATTAAGAAACAAGATGATTTATGATTCCTGCAAAATCCTACCTTCTTGAAGGAGTTTGGCTTTCCTTCTGCAGTACTGCCAGACACGCAGCTGGAACAGCCCCCTTGCTGTCCCACTGCACCCAGGAACAGGGGCTTAAGCCAAAGTAATAGTGAGGTAGAATAAATTAATCTAAAATCAGCCAGCTGGGTGATAGCAAAACTAATTAAAATAAAATTGTGGAAGATCTGACATGCAGACATTGTCCTAATAATAACAGTGGAAACAGGGCTGGATGTTCACCTCCTTGTCTCACAGAAGGATCAGTTTTATATAAGCCATAGTCCTGCAAAAGCTCCTTTGGATAGATGGAACATACTGGAATAAGGTTGATCAGATGAAAGAAAAGCATGTGGAGAAGAGTTACAGATATATTTGCAATATTACTGTGACCAACATCACCTTCCAGGCAGCTGCTGAAGACCTTTTCCATGGTCAGCAGTCAGGTGAAAAACAAACCCCCCCAACCATTCATTCCCTAAACAGCATTTTGGTGGAAACTGAAAGGGGTTTTCAACAGTATCTTTTGTCTTCCCCATGGCTTCCAGCGACAAGGCGTCAGCACACGAGGGATGCTGGGAAGAAGTAACAGCTGTCAGCAGACAACAGCCTCCACAGGAGCAGAACGCTGTGGGGGCAAGTGTACGTTCCCAAGAGCAAAGACGACAGAACAGCACTGAGAAGGGGAAGAAGAGTAGGAAATAGGAGACAGGTGAACGTGAGGGCGTGTAACCCTGAGAACACATCAGACACTGATTCCTGGTTCTCCAACGATGTCTCGTGTTACTAGATTAGAAAAGCAATCACAAGAGACCCTGGCTGATGCTTCTGCAAAACGTCCCTCCTGGGACAGAAGCAAAGCTTTCCAACAGATACCAAAGCCCAGTCCCGAGCCTGCTCTTGGTTACCACTCAGCTGAAAGAGCACAGCCTTTGGGGAAGCTATTTCAGATGTACCCAGTGTGACTGAGATCACAGCCTGGCGCTTTCTCTCTCACTCTCAGGGAACAAGAATTTTGATCTGGATTACAGTCTTGTTCTTCTGGGCATCTGAAAAGTAGATGTGGGGCGTATGTTGTTTTTTTCTTCCAGGCTGAGGAATTACTGCTGGTGCCAGACTTACGTATTTACCTCGCATACAGATGCTATCGTATTCCTGGATTAAAAGAGCATTGCACCCAAATGATGGAAGAAACATCTGGGGCTTCTTTTTGATGGTGTGCTTCTGTAA